TTATTACACCCAGCAGGAGGATGTTAAATGCATACCACCACTTGCTGAGTATGGAGCAACCCTGTACCCCAGCAGCCAGCACTTCAACCCAACTGTTCTGCAAGAGAAGCCCTACAATCCAGGGTTCCCGGAAAGTTTGGTCCTGCCAAAACTGCAGGTCCTTCATAGAACGGTTTGGTTGGAAGGGACGTTAAAGATCGCCTAGTTCAACCCCCTTGCCATGGGCACAGACACCTTCCACTACACCAGGTTGCTCAAAGCCTCATCCAGCCTGGGCTTGAACACCTCCAGGGATGGCGCATCCACAGCTTCTCTGGACAACCTGTTCCAGTGCCTCACCACTCTCACAGCGAAGAACTTCTTCCTAATATCTAATCTAAATTTTCCCTTTTCTGGTTTAAAGCCACTGCCTCTTGTCCTATCACTACATGCCCTTGTAAAAAGTCCTTCCCCATCTTTCTTGTTTCCTTTTCTGCCGAAACACATGATCTGGGAGAACAAGTGCCAGATACTTTTAAGAAGCAGCAGTCGTGGAGCTGCTGGACTCACTTAGGATCCAATGGATATCATCTGAACACTGCTATCCCGGTTACCCTTGTTGCTGCTGATGAACATGTGGCTGGCCCCAGCAGTGAGCCAGCTTGGATCAGGGAAAGGTTGCGTGAGCTTAGACATTGGAAGAGACCAGAGACCCTGGGGCAGTCAAAGCGTGGCCAGCATTGAGTGACACAGGTAGTGAGTTCTGCCCTATGGATGTCAATAGCAGATGCCATCACCCAGTATCTCAAAGCATCAAAGTAAGGTGCCTCATTGGAACTGAATGGATTGTGTTCCACTGAGATCTTCAAGAAATTTGCAGGCAGATCATGTTTTTGTTTCCCCCAGAGCCACCTCTACAGAAAAAGACTCTCTCGTGAAAAAGACCTCATTTGTTGTTGCTATGTTGTACATCCGTGCAGATATGCAGTAGTCCCCCACGCACCGCTGGCATTTCAGCTCTGACTCAGCGTATCTCTTCAGCAGGGAGCTGAATGCCACACACTTCCTTCGAGGTTTTCTTGACACTTATGAGTCATTTGTCCTTCCCTGACCTGCATGAGGGAATCTGGCTGACCGGGCTGCGATAGCAAAGCCATCAGCCTCCAAAAAGTAAAAGCTGCACATATTCAAGGGAAACACTCTTGCCTGTAGTTGTGAAACTCTCTGCTAGAATCAGCATCTTAGACCACCTCTAAGAAAGTGATCAAGGAATGGATCTAGTGTTATTAACCCATCTCATCCCTTTCTGATCCCGAGTGGATTCATGGTCATCTCCCAGCATGGACAGATTTTTAAACTTTGGAAACAACAGCTTCTCCTTGGCTCCTTTTTCTCTCTTCCCAAGTCTTCTCTTACATTTTACAAGCTTTCACCTAGAGAGGAGGACCAGAGTCATGGTTATTGTAAGCATTTGCCCAGGACTGTTCAGCCTTAGCATGGGCAGGCTTAAACCTAGGAGCTGCCACTGAGACCAGCAAACCCCCAGCACCACCCCATGGCCCAGCCCCACAGGGCTGCCAGTGAGGCCACTGCCAGGGCAGGTCAGCCTCGACCCCTGCCTATGCCCAGCCAAAGGCATTACGCTTCACTGGCCAAGCCCAAGCCCTCTCCATGTCCCATCCCTGTGGCACTGGGACAGGAGCCATTATGCTTCACAAAGCCCTTTTTTTCCCCATCCAAGGCTATTCCTAAATTCTCCAGTATCTGCAGACATTGCATAGCACAGCATCTCTTGCATGCCAGCCTCTATCTGTCCTGGTGACCAGCACCTCAGCCTTTCATTTGGTCCCGAAGGACATGGTGGCTGCAGAGAAGGAAAATAAATTCCTAGCTGTACCACATCTCCCCTTCCTCAGGAGAACCTATGGATTTTGCAAAGAGACAAATGAGTCCCAGGCACCTGGCAGCCAGCCGAGCAGATGAGTCATTTGCAGAGCTGGGGCTAAGAAGAGCTACGTGCATATTTAATGCATCCCAGGGATCCTGCTTGCTTTCAAATTGCACAGGGATGTTTGTTGAAGCTCTGGGGATGTTGGAGCCTCATAGGCACACTTCAGCCTCCTGAAGGGAGGAGAAGTTTGACTTAGATACTTATCTCAGTGCTTTCTGCTTCATAAACATCTCTGCTGTGCTCAGACATTAAACTCGCCAGGCTGAGAGGCACTCAGATGAGGACCAAGGGAATAGCGGAGTGTCTTGGAGAGAGACAGAAAGATCCTTCTGGCAGTGAATGATCTCCCTGTCTTCCCTTCCTATACTGCTTCCAAAGTTACTAAAGGTGCACTTGTCACAGGACAATCATGAGCTTTCTTTCCTTGAGTAAACCAGATTAAAAAGAAAAGAGGGAAAAAGAAAAAACCAAACCAAACAAAAGAGCTTGGAATTTCTTTTTTTTTTAATTGCTGCTTGAGATGAGCCTGTGGGCTCATCTTTCAGAAACAGTGCTTTCTGTTCCACAGGAATCTATAGGAGCTCCATGGTGTGGAGGAGGTAAACAGGAAACACTCCCAAAGCAGTAGGGCTGAAATCCTCAGGCACAGGTATAAAAACTAAAGCACACTCCCCTTTTGTAATGCATAGTGCATAATTACCTGTTGGAACTCATTGCCGCAGGACAATGTGGAGGACAAAAATACAAGCAGGCTTCTGTGCAAAGGCATTATTTACACCAAGTCCTGTTAAACTGAGAATGGTTAACGCTTCCTCTCTGGGTATCTGTTCACTGGCCACACCACCTTCTTGTATTTTTTTTTCTGTTGTCTAATTTGAATCTCCCAAGCCACAAATTTTGGCTGTTGGTCACTGTCTCACCATCTTCCACTCTTCAGAAGTGGTTGATTCTGTCATCTTGGTACCTCACCTTGAAGTAGCTGTAGGCTGCTATCAATTCATCCCTTAGGGCTCACTGTTGAGACAGCTTCTCCATAAGTCCCAACCTTACCAGATCCCAGAGGGTCCCGTGCATTGAGTCCAACAAGGCCTCAGTCCTCAGGAAGGCAGAAGGTTCCCAGTAGATCTCTTATCATCTCCTGCCTCTGCACCACACAGCAATTTGTGCCCGCAGTTCTGATTTATATGAAGAAGCTGGAACAGGGATCGCGGGACCCAGGAATCACACACCTCTGCAAAAAGTAGTGAGTAAAACTCACCACCATGTATTGCTGGGAAAAAACCTTCAGGTGGGATGCTGGTGAAAAGTCTGCAAGGGGAGGATGCAGACCAACTATATTAGCCTACGTCAAGCCGCTTTCTGAGATGCAAGCTGAGGTCTCAACATGGCATTGAAATCCATCAGTGCTGCAAATCTGAGGGGAAATCCACTCTTCAAGTTATCCTGGGTGCTTTTTCATGATGCCTGTCTTACTACAGATGAACCAGGCAAGAATGAAGTACACCAGACTTACTAACATTTCTTTAATTAGTCACAGAACAAAAATGTTTGGACTTCTACTGATTATTTTACACAGAAAATATTGGAATGATGTATCAGCTGGTTTTGTGTCCATTTTGCTCTGTTCTATTTCCATGTAAAAATATACATCTGGTACAGAAGATTAAAAAAAATAGATTTTCACAACAAAATAAGTGCTTTGAGTACTAAAAATGCACTTGTGCACTTTAATGTTAGCCTAAATATTTACATTTTCTAGCCACACCGCCTCCCTACCCCAAAAATGGGCAAACCCCAGATTATAAATATTAGTTGTATCAGATATACAAAACTTTCCCAGAAAAAGGGCAGGAAACACAAACATAACAAGCTGTGGCTCAGACAATTTGATTTTAACTCCTCAAAAAACAGCAAAAAAAATAAAAGACTTCAAAGATTTCTTGTCAAAATAAAAATGGCACACGGAACACAACACTAGTTATCAGTTATTGCAAGCAGAAGGGGAAGAAATTTTGAGATGCGATACCTTTCAGGAAATAATGGCACAGACCAGGTAGCAACAGTATGGTTTCAAAAGGTCAAAAAGGTTTAAGAAGGACTAATCTTGCCTTTTTGGAAGAACAGCATAGATTACATGTCTCTTCAAGTCCTTCTCTACCTGATTACTATGCTGTAGGGTTGGATAATGGAAAACCAACAATTTCTACAGCCAGCATCTGCTGATCTTGAGCCAAGACAACATGGCACGAAATGCTGACATGTTGAAAGTCTTGGTTTTGGGCAGCAGTTTCCTTCTACCACTTTCTGAGTCTTTCTCAGGTAAACTGTGCTGATCACAACAAAAAGTGGCCTAGTTCACCTCCTCTGTCATGGGGCCACCTTGCCATCAGTCCAAGCAGTGTTGGATCTTAGAACATCGTGAAGTGTCCTCTGCCAAGCATGAAAAATCCCTCGGGGGGAAAAATGGTCCCTTTGATAAAGCATGAATTAGGGCGGAAGGAGAGACATTCATAGCTTGTGATTAAAAACTGTACATCAGCAACTAACCACATGAAGGCAGCTGGGATCAAACGTCACCAACTTTGCAGAGCTGATCACAGATGTTATCATAAACCCACTGCATGTGGGAAACGTAACAGGCATTACTCAGTAGCCAAGGTCACACCTGCTCACAGGGCAGGAATCACTAGTAAAACATTTGGAGACCATTGTAGCTGAGGACAAAACAAGAGGAAAGGTAGCTGAAGGGATGTTATCAGACATGAGATTGAGTCTTAGAAACCAGAGTGTGCAAAAGTCAACCAAACTTGCCTTGTCCTCCAGTAAGTCAGTGGCTTTCTAAGTCACAAGCCATACAACAGAGACTGGGATCTATTAAACAAAAAAATCTGTCCAGAGATGCTTGGCAAGCTTAGGATTCGGCCATGGCCTGAAGAGGCTCTTTTGCAGTGTTCGTAGTTCATTGAGTTGAAATGCCCAGAGCGAGTCCTTAGGAAGCGGTCTCCCACCACAGGGTGTCTTGTCCCACCAGACTCCGAATGAGCCAGCTGAGTTCGCCTGCCAAAATGCTTCAGTGGCAAATTCGTTCTGTCATTTCTTTCTGCATTGAAGAGGACAAGAAAAGAAACAAACAGTAAGTGCAAAAGACAGGTTTTAGTAGAGTGACACGTCAGGCAGTTTGGTAGGTATCCAAAAACAACCCAAGGAAGCAACCGTGGGAGTCTCGGGGAGCATTTCTGTGTTTCCCATGCCAGCCCTCCTGGGAACTGCTCTGCCTCAGCAGCTCCTTCCTGGCATCCTCCTCAGTCTCTGTGGCACAAGGTTATTTTGGCTGTGCCCTAGCTCTGAGAGCAGTCCAAGGAAAGAGCATTGGCTGAGATGTTGAAAGATGCAGGTCCTGCTCCTGAGTCAGCCCTGGAGCAGCCAGACAAGGCGGTGCCGCTCTCAAAGCCTCCATTTGCAGCTGCCTAGGGAGACGGAGCTGCTCCTGGCTCTCGTTCCAGGAGGTGACAACAGCTCACCCAAAGGACCTGTGGTTTTGGCAAGGGATCCCATGGTCACACTGCAATGCAAAGAAGTTTTATTAACAGAGGGCCACCGGAAACCTCCTGCAAGACTGAGCTCTGTTTAGGCTAACAGACTGTTTTCTTTAGCCAGGATGGCGTCATGCCAGCTGCATTAGGAAGGTGCCCAGCTTTCAGCTGGTGGAAGATGGTATTTGTCTTTGCCTTAAGGAGCTCAACTAATAGCTTGCAAATCATGTACGTTGCGGCAGTGAGGAAAGTCTGTGATTCTCTCTGGCTCATCAGGTTCATGGCTTGTGAATCTGTGTGCGCACAGACCCCTCACACACCCCAGAGAAAGGTTTGCACGTTGAAATGTACTCACAAAATAGATCTGAAGTAGGACTGGTCTGCGGAGAAGGAAGGATGCAACTCTGAAAAAATGAGAACTAGGAAAGTAGGATGACCCTTGAGTAACCCTGTAAAAGGCCCTTTAGTCATATAACTGAGGGGGACAGAAGCTGCAATCGCAGCTCTTCAGTGTTGAGAGCTTTGTTTTTAAAATCCATCAGGGGAGAGTGGCAAAGAAAGGGCTTCTCTGTAGGAGTAACATGCAAAATCACTCGAGCGCAGAACCCTGCCATTAAATGAAAAGCCCATGCTCTGCCACAAAATCATGTTGCAAATGGGAAGTGTTTGCAAACATCTTGAAGGAAGGAGAAAGAAAAGTCAGGGTGAGAAGGCTGTGAACATCGTCTTGCAACAGCATGCAGCCCACCCCACTAGCACAGCACCATGCACAAAAGCAGCCTTGAACGAGATGGGTTGGGGTGGCCAGTGGACTGCCAAGCCACCTGCGAGCTCCTCAGGCTGGCCCCAAACGTCCAAGGCATTCATCACACTCTGGAAATCCGCACAGCTCTGCCTTAGTATGTAAGCAGCTGGACCTCTGCCAGTGCTGCTGCCCAGCACTGTGACCTGTCCTTGTCAAGGGAGCAAGTGCATGGCTTCTCTCTGCCCCCTTATTTCTTGATTTGTTAAGAGAGTGAATCACTGCCTTTTGCTAGTTGTGCCTGTACAAAGCATCAATCTCATTCTTGGCTCTCAAGATTTGCTGCTAAGAAATGTCCCAAAGAAGCTTGACAAAAGGGAAACTGAGGCAGCAAAGGGACATTCAGCCAGAGGCAGGCTTAGAAACCAAGAACTGCTTCATCCCACAATCCTTGTAATTTTTCTAAGCTATTTGGGCCTAACAGGACATTTTCTGGCTGGGGAGGTGCTGGTTTTTTCTTTCTTCTTACTCCTAAATCTGAAAATTGGGGCACCTCAGTAGAAAGCCTACTTCTAGAAAGCTCCAGCCATAATACAGCTCTCAGACCTGCTGTCCTGCTCCAGATGTTCTCCCTCCACATGCCTCGTGCCCTTCACGTGCAGGGAACAGGCACCACTGCAGGAAGGAGTCTCCTCTGTCATGGGATTCATGGGGACTAACTCTAGCCATCTACATGCAAGGTTAGGACAGTTGTCTGGGCTCATGAGGCAGTCAAGAGAGACTGAACCTTTCAAGGACAGTTCTTCTCATCCCTGCTGAGAGATTATCGCCTTTCCACAAACCTTGATAACTTGCAAAAACTAAACCATGCAGTCTTAGCTTAAAATGAAGGCAGATGCAACACACTGTCTGTCCTTGCTTAAGTGTCAAACCAGCTGATGAATCCTTCAGGAGTTAAAAACACTTAGGAGCAGGGCAACAGCTATGGTTCAGACCTGTGAGAAAGGGAATGAGCAAAGCAAGCCACTGGTGCTCTGCCCTGGGCTGGGGAGAGTAGCCACAGGAAAGTCAACTGAGGTCAAGTGTAAAGTGCTGCAGAGGCTGGATGTTACTATTTGTGCATCTTCACAACTGATGCTGAAGCAAAGCCAGAACAGCATGAACGCTAGGCTCCCCACATGCTCCACAGCACAACAAACTGGAGCCACACCAGGCTCCCAGGGGCTCATTGGAAAGTCCCTGGGATGTGCATGAAGAAACTTCCCATCATTGCTTTCCCTGCCTGCAGCAGAGAGAAATGCTGTTGGATGCTACTGGATAAATCCTAACCCATGCAGACTTTGGGATTGATGACAGTGTCAAGCTGCAGCCTCCCTGGGGTAACAGCATGGCCAGAAAGACCATTTTCAGGTTTTAAAAGTTGTTCATATGCTGCAGCAACTTGTCGCTCCCTCCTCAACCCAACACTGCATCCTGGACATAGCCATCCTCTGGTTGCAGGACACTCTCGTACACACCTACAGCAAGTCATTGCCTGAGGGAAGGAGGTCTCCCATGTGGTTGAGTCTGCTTGGAGCTTGGATGCCAGGTAATGGGCACACCAAGAAATGAGACACCGATAGACCAGAGGTAAATGTGTTTCATTTCCTTGTAGTTTAACCCTGGTTGCATCACAGGGGAAAATCTGTTCATCTTCGATTCATCCAAACCCATAAATCATCTCGTGTTGCATGTGAGTCACTGGCATTGAAAGCCTATTTAGCAATGTCAGCCTCTGCTTTGGCTATTAGGTGCTAATTATTTACATTAGCAAGCATCAGTCAAAGGAGATGACACCATTATGGGCTGTATATCAATGCTAGAGAAGTTTGTCATGAGGAGCTGTGGTGAGGAAGACTAACAGAGGACAGAGTGATGCAGAGCTGCCATTTTCTGAACCTGAGGGCCATTGTGATAATAGGTCACAATCAAACTCTACAAAATAATTAATGTAGATGCTGTTGTCATTCAAGTCTCCCCTGATTAGATCATCATCTCTCCATTTCCCCAAATCACAATCACAGCAGACAGGCAGCAAATTGACTGAGACAAATGAAAGCAGAGAAGGAGTAAAGCGCTTAGCACTTAGGGGCAGGGGCATTTCCCCACCCCCAGATACTCCTAAACAGGCAGCTCATGCTGGGACTTTCCTCAGCTCTTTCTCTCTCTGGGATTAGATCCCCTTGGTCTTCCCTGGCTCTCTGCTGCTGGATACCGCCTTTTCTGCAACCCAGCCCTTATCACAGCATGCTAACTACTGGGTTCCCTATTAATTCTTCTCCCCATTGCAACATGTTCTCCCTAGGTCAGACCACACTCAGCCTTGCCTGTGACACACTTGCTTCTCTTACAAAACTAACCATGTGTGTTTTCTAGTTTAGGTGTCTGGCCTTTGCTTCCCGCCAGCCCTGCTGTTTTCAAGGACTCTCACTGTCTGCCTGGCTAATTGCTTCCCAAGGGAGGCTGTAGAGAAACTTGGAGCTCCAGCGAGGCCTCTCCAGCTTAGCCTGTATAGCTGTTGTCTGGAGCTGCATGTCCTGTTAGGGCTTACCTTCCTGCAGCCTCATTGAATTCACTCTAGGGTCTCAAGCAGGGACCTTAGTGTGCTAATAGGAAAACTCAAGACTGTGGAGAGGAGACTTAGGCTCAAATCTGACCCCTGAAAGCCACGTGGACAGAACTGGCTGGAAACACTTGGATGTGCAAGTTGCATTTGATGTGCAAAATGCAGGTGGTCCTGAGAACACTGAAGAGCAATTCATAGACATGGCAGCAGAGGCAAAGTTTAAGAAGGGTTTTCAAATGGTAAAGGGTTTCCTCAGTGTTGATGGGAAGGTTTCTCTCAGAGCACTAAGGCTGGTGGTTACAGGACAGAAAACATGGGTGTGCTGCTGAGGTAGGGTGGCTGAAAGAGTCCAGAGAGGATGACTGCACTGCTCAGAGTCCAGCCCCCACCTGAATCTACCAGTGCTGTGTTGAGCTCAGGCCACTCTCACGCCCTCCACTTCCCCATCCCTGGGGCATCCTTACCAAAGGCTCCAGCTCCCGGTGGTCAACAAGGCTGAACTCCCTGATGAAGTAGTAAAAGTGCTTGTAGCAGGTGTTGACATGAGCCTCAGCACCCATGTTGATGATGCTGTCGAAGTGGTGGATGTAGACATGGACAAAGACACGGAAGAGGCGGGTGAGGATCTTAGTGCAAACTTGCTGGAACTGCTTGGGGAAGGGAACACCTGCAAAGCAGAAGCAAGTTAGAAGCCATTTGACCATTTCCAGAAAAACTGGCGAGCATTTAAATGTCACTGTCATGCTTAACAGGCAGTCATGAATGATGAGGAATGACTCCCTTGGCTAATGTCAAGAGTCACAGCTACACTGGGGCAATGTGCCATCTAGCTCTCCCCATGTACTTCCTTATTGCCCAACTAGCCATTTCACACAGCCATGGTCTGAGGATTTGAGGAGTTGCTCTAGGAGAGAAAATTTCTCATCCAGTGGAGGAGCCCACACCTCTCTACAACTGGCTCTATCCAGAGCAATCTGGCAGAGGATCCTTCTGCCCTCCCTCCCTGCCTTACCCCTACGAGCCTGTGCAGGCACAACTTAAGTCAAATTGTATTTACCCAGCTCCAGGAACAAAACTAAACCCCCTCCCAGCAGAAAAGATACCTTCCCTGGTCCTCTGAATCAAAAGCATGGTTCACACCATTTTTCTTACTTCACACACCCTCAAACATCACTTCTGATACATCAACAGAAACAGGTGGGGTTTCTACCTTTTTTCCTGATCCTTGTTTCCAACAAATGCCTCATTAAAACAGGAATAAAACTGCCCATCTTAATGATGACGTAGGTTGTAATTTCATTGCACCTGTACAATGCTCCTTCCTGGGACATCTCCCAGGTTGTTCAAGAATGGGACCTACCACACATTGCTCTATACTTTCAGCCTTGTCCCACACAAGGACACGATTTCATACTTTACATTTCCATCCTTGTCTAAATGCAGTGCTATCACAGTGAAAATCTCAGAGGTGTGATGCAGTCAGTGTCAGCAAGGTTGGGGTAAATCTCTAAAGGAAACATGGCTTTGAAATGCTGAACATATTTTTTTGGGAGGAGGAAAATGAAACAACTGGAATTTGTTTTCCTGAAGCTTCTTCCTCTCCTCCGAGCAATTCAATGCAAATTTGCAAAGAACAAAATAAAAACCTCCCTTCCCACGGTTGTACCAGCCTCCTCCCTTAGCTTCTTATTAATGCAGCATATAACCTCCTAAAAATCTTCCCAAATAATCTCCACTCAGCCATAGCCAGCTCACACATTTTGCACTGTGGAAAGCATCAGCAAATCTCTTAGCTAAAAAAATTAAAAATGGTAATTTTATCTTTGAATCTTTCTCATCAGCCTTACTGGGCAATTAAACTGTTTTTCCCAAAGACTCCTGGCAGTTTTGTTTCCCAGCAGCAGTGCCATGCCCCTCTCCTCTGTGGGTGACGAACACAAAAGATCTGTCCCTCCAACATCATGTGTGGAGCCTGTGTTTTCAGTGGCAAGTGTAGGGTTCAGGATCGCAGCACTCGGAAAATGATCTTTGGTCTAAAACAGAGTCACCTTCAGCCCAGCCCAGTCTCACTTTGCTTCGTGTGGAGCGTGTGTGCAGCAGGCAGGGCAGAAGTGCATGTGCTGGTGCCACAGGTGGATGTCCCAGCCACCCCTTGGAGAAGGACACGTTAGGCTTGGAATGGGCTGCCCAGGGAGGTAGTGGAGTCACCATCTCTGGAGGTGTTCAAGAAAAGACTGGTCGTGGCACTTGGTGCCATGGTCTCGTTGACATGGTGGTGTTAGGGCAAAGGTTGGACTCAATGATCCCAGAGGTCTCTTCCAACCAAATTGATTCTGTGATCTTGGCTCACCATCACACGAACACAGAGAGGTGGTTTGGAGACCGATTCATGGCCGCTGCTCTGCATAACCATGAGCACGCTGCAGCCCCAGGCTGCTCCTGCAGGAGGGACCTCGGCGTGGCCCGTTTCACTGCCAGCTCTAACAGATCCTGTTAGGACTTTCTGGGAAAGGTGTTCGCATCTGGCAAAGTACAACCAGGCTCTCCCCATGCTAGCAGCTTAGAGATGGTACTGGAGATCTGCTTCTGCCCTGCACTCTTCACTGCGGAGCTCTCCTTGCCTGCCAGTCTGATAAGGGCAGGGATCAGAGGGAGATCTCCAGGTTTCCCTGAAGTCAAGGTGCGTTATCAATGGCTTCATTTGAGCTTTTTGCACTGAGTGAGAATTTGCTGAGCAAATAAAAGCGGTAATCACCCAGCTGGGGACTCAGACATGCTGTTAGGGTGGCCCCTGCAGACAAGCTTTGAAGAATCAGTCAAGAAGCATTTTGTTAAATAAAGAAAAATTCTTCACAGCAAGTAATTTCTGGTGAACGCACATTGCTGGGCCGTGGCCGGGGAATACTCACTGTTCTGAACAGCCTGTACCCCTGGGACCAGAGGTGAGCAGTCGCTGCCAGGAACTCAGCAAGGTGCCAGCAGGCAGGCAGCAACGCATTTGTTGCCTCCAGTTTGTCACCCATCCCACTTGCGTAGTGCCTCCTCCAGTCAAAGCAGGCAGCGAGGAAGAAATCAGACCTGACCAGCCACCAGGAGTTTATCACCTGATAACTGCGAAGAGTGATAGTGAAGGAAAGCAGCAAACCTCAACCCAGTACTGAGCTGAGAAAGAAGATCAGACAGTGAATAGCAGATCAAAGGGATCTCAGACTCCCAGGGCTGATAGCATCAGTGGTCCAGATACTGCTGTTAGATGAGCCACCTCCAGAGCTGGCAGATGGTGACAGGTGGCTTTCCATTGCTTTTGCCCTGGGGTTAGCCAGGAACCATCTTCTCCTATAAACTGGTTACCGGCAAGTCTTCATGGACATGCTGGCAGCTGAGAGACTTAGAGGGGAGACACCTCCAGCTACATCCTGGGTTCTCTAAAAGCAGCTCTTGCTTCAGGGAACAGAGTTTTAGCATAAATCATAGAATAGTTAGGGTTGGAAGGGACCTTTAAAGGTCATCTAGTCCAAATATCGTGGCCATAGGCAACTATGGGAGCTGCTGAGCTATCCTGTACCTAATGAGGCCTGGAAAGATACCATCAAGCTGCCAGGACCGACAAGTACCCTTCTGGGCTACCCCAGCACCGTGCTTTCACATGAACCCAGCAGCAGCAGCAGCTCCCAGGAGGTGGAGCGGTGCTGCTCTTCTTTGTGTCCATCACAAGGTGTCAGTGTGTGGCCGTCCCCTCCAGACATGGCCAGGCTGTAGAGGTGTCTGGCTGTCACTAATGGACTTCTACAGGTCACCCCCTCACCCTGCCATATCATGACATCACCACCCACTATGGTCCTTTGGGTCCAGGGGCCACTGGGGTCCGGCTCTGGCTCTTTCTCCCCACATCACCCCTCTCACTTGCACATGTGAGGGAGGCACAGGCAGCCCCAGCAGCACAACCTGGGCCATCGGGTCCTGTTTCCTCTCTCCAAGGTGCAGTCACATCTCTGCCTCCCATGCCAGAACCCTCAATACAGGCTACGGATGCTTGACTGGACCCTGCATCTGGCATGGTGGCCTGCGCCAGTTGATCAAAGCGCTTCCCCGCAGAAAGGAAGCAAGGCGGATATCTGATAAGCAGGTTGCCTCCGCCAACAGCAGTCGTGCCTCACTGCTGATCTCCAATGACTTGGAAAGCAACCCACAGCAGCCCCAGCAGGCACTGGCCATGCTGGTGAGGAGCTGGAGAAATTCCCCATTCCCTTGCCCAGAGCTGAAAGGAAAGGGCTGTCCAGTAAAGGCTGCATCTGACCAACCCAGGGAGAGCAGCAGGAAGATCTGGCATAAATACAGCTTGCCCTGGGTCACGGCTGC